ATTGAGTAAACAGTCAACAGGAGTTGTTTTGCCACACGACACCTATGGAACGCATCTGGACTCACGAGGGAAAACCTCCGATCCCGAAATTGAGCTTAAAAATTTTCAAGCTGCTGGTGAGGCTTTGGCAAACCTCTGGAGTGAGTTGATAATAGATTCATTTCCTATAACGGTGTATTATATAAGTTCGGACGCGGAAACAGTGATACCAACGCCTGTAGATGCAGATTGGTACTCTAAACACGTCAGAGAGTCACAATATTGTTTGCAGGTTTGAAAGAAAAATTTTACTTGCACTTGATTTTAGTTAAAGTTATTCTGTATGTTTTTTATTTACTCACAGATTGTCAAATGTGACAATGTTGATCGATGCGGGGGATTACGTAGTGATTTGAAAACGATTTAAAAAAATGGTCGTCTTCCTCTACCCGTTCGATTTGTACATGATACGGAAACAGGTAGACTGCGCAGGTTGAAAGCTTTGGAAAATGTTCAAAACGCCCATTTCTAGCCACTATTTCAATCAGTAGTAGTTCAGTCCTTAAATCCTACTACTGAGTATTGATGAGACTCTGCTTGATGTATTGATGATTTTGCTTGCCCTACAATTCAAGGTGACGTCGAGTCTGGACGTAGAATATGCAGGGTATATTAATGTATACAATACGTTTTGTCATGGTTTAAATATCCAATATGAATTCGCATTTCGTTTTATTGCAGACGGGTGGACTGTATTTTGTATCAATTTCAGCGGCATATAAACACAACCGTACTGTCCATTCCTGTCACCTGAATCTTTGTAACAATCAAGAAATCATGAAGGTTAACCACAGGCGCTCCCGGCGTATCGCAGCCAAAATCGCAAAGCACGGCAGAGAAGTGCTATGCCGTACGATTCATCCTCAAACTGGTGGGGAAGACGTCGAATGGTTAGAGGAAGATAAGCTGCCAATAGATGTGCCAGATGAAGTATAGCATCTGCTGCTGATGATACGTCTGATGAACTGCCGATTGTCTCTGACTGGGCAACATGGCTAGCCAACCCTTTTAGCCTAGCCGACGAATAAAATTATAGTATCCACAGTTTATCTAGGTTTAATGAGCTTGGTACTTTTTATTTGTTTCTTAAATCTAGTCGCTCATTGCGCCATTAACTTGTAGTTTTTTATAGATATTAGGATGTTTGTAATTTCGTGCAAAATGACCTCATCTTACCTTAAGTTATAACAAATTATCCAAAGAAAAAATAACTATTTATCTTTTAAATGAATGTCTGTGATTTATGCCAAATAATAATTTTTCTGTACGTTGAAATAGTATAAAAAATGTTTGATAATAAATAAATAAAAAATTGAGTATCTTATACTTTTTACAAAAAACATAGGCACAACCTAACGTAAGAAAGGGGAGAGGGTGTATTTTAATTCTTACGTATCCTTACGTCAGGATAGATCCTTAAATCAGGATATCGGGGGTCAAAAATGTCGAAAATCGCTCTTACGTAATTAATGAGTGGGCCCCTTCCTTGTCCCTTTCCCCAAGTGTTAAGTGCCCATAGTCGTGCCCTTATTAAAGGAGCCGGACGTAGAGCACTATAATGTAAAAAAAAAAACTTCGGTTCCCTTGAAAAAATCTATGTTATAGATTAAATTTTCCTTTTTCGGAATCAATTAATAAAAATATTCCTACGACATTGGTTTTTAAATTAATAAAGTTTCAAGTTCAAAATTCTTACACGGGTTACAATGACACTTTTCGAATAAAGGCAAAATACGAAGTTGTAAAAAATTTAACAATCGTCATACAACTGGTCTGCTGCATATGTAAATGTCTCAAATTTTTGGCAACAGAGCAGCCGCACATATATATCCATATGCGCGAGTGTGTATGTATAGCAAGACCAAAGACGTTATATAGGATATACCGGGCACACTTATGTAGCATAGAGAAAATATAATAGAGGAAGCGAACTGTATATTCTTCTGTAAGTGGAAGCGTACAGTCAGTAGACAGAGGAAGACGACTGTTTTGGTCTTGCATCTCTCTCTGCTCTCTGCATTGATTGGTTGCTGCTTGACAGTGTATATAGTGGTAATTGTAGTAGAGCTGTAGGTATATATATTGCACTAGAGGCACAAGAGGGCATTTAAAATAGCCAATCAGGATAAGAGCAGAGAGAGAGAGAGAGAGAGAGAGAGAGAGATGCAAGACCAACACAACCTTTTTTCTCTGTCTAGCATCTGTATGCGGTCACGGCTTGTTGAGCTTCCTCTATTATATTATCTCTATGTTGTGTAGGCGGCTGAATCATACACTGAGAGAGACAGCAATAGGGTTGGAAGAGTATCTGTCTCTCTCTAGAGAGACATGGAGGGGGAAGGTGATCAGGAGAAAGATCAGAGAGGTGTAGACTTGTGAAGTTGGCGCCCGTAAATATTAAATATTAATATTTTGCACCCATTCAGGGCTTAAACGATTCCTCCTTACTTGCGGATTTATCCTCCACTTGAATTTTTATTTGCGGATCAATAGTTTGCGAGATATTTGCAAAATAAGAAGTCGAAAATGGGCGCGGCGCTGAAGTATAAAAAAATTTGTTTTAAGTGCTAAATTGGGTTAAAATCCAATTCTACCTGTACGATTCGATTCCTCCTCATTTGCGGATAACGGAGGTATATAAATTAATGTAATTAAATGTCACAAAGTTTGTAAATGATGAATTCAATTATTGAGTGAGAGAATCTAGTAACTTTTGTCTAGTGACTTTTGGTCCAGTGCTCTGTTCCTGTTGTTCGGTACATGTCGCTTACTCCTTACAGCGGGTTCTACAAAATATTTATCGGAATAGAAAACTTTAGTAGGTATTAATCTATTAATTATCAGTTATAAGTTATTCAGCCTTCGGGTCAATACACACACACACATACAATACATACTTCAAGCTCAAGGAAAAATTTATTTGTCAATAGGTACAGATTTTTCATCTTAAGAATCTAATACCTGGAATCTATTGTGGCAAATACTGTGGAATGATATTTATTTATTACGCCCGAAATTTTAATATTTGTTGTTATTCAAGAAACAAATAACAACACAACTAAGAAGTAGCAGTACAGCTATAATCATCCCAAGACAAGTTACAGCTAAGCACACAAGTGATAATTTTGTTTGGACAAGTTTTAGAAAACGGCTCAAGCATTCAAATTTCGCGCGTAAATGATCAGGCAAATTGTAGATCAAGTTACCGACCAGTGGAAACGGATCAAAGTGACACAGGCTGTGTTCGCCTAAGGCTTTGTTTGTTATTAGGTTTGTTAAGGTCACGTGATCATTTATCATAAGTGCGAGGGAGACAGCATGATATCAACGTCTCACTCGCACTAATCATAAATGATCACGTGACCTTAACATACTACAAACGGAGCCTATGCAAACACAGCCCCAGGAATAAATTAACAAGTACATAATTTAAAAAAATGTTTATTAAATGTGTTTACACTAGATTGCATAGTCATCAAAAAATGTGTGTGTGTGTGTGTGTATTGACCCGAAGGCTGAATAACTTATAACTGATAATTAATAGATTAATACCTACTAAAGTTTTCTATTCCGATAAATATTTTGTAGAACCCGCTGTAAGGAGTAAGCGACATGTACCGAACAACAGGAACGGAGCACTGGACCAAAAGTCACTAGACAAAAGTTACTAGATTCTCTCACTCAATAATTAAATTCATCATTTACAAACTTTGTGACATTTAATTACATTAATTTATATACCTCCGTAATCCGCAAATGAGGAAGAATTGAATCGTACAGGTAGAATTGGATTTTAACCTAATTTAGCACTTAAAACAAATTTTTTTATACTTCAGCGCCGCGCCCATTTTCGACTTTTTATTTTGCAAAAATCTCGCAAACTATTGATCCGCAAAAAAAATTCAAGTGGAGGATAAATCCGCAAGTAAGGAGGAATCGCTTAAGCCCTGAATGGGTGCAAAATAATAATATTTAATATTTCCGGGCGTCAACTTCACAAGTCTGAGAGGTATAAAAAGGTAAATGTCTACCTAGAGAGAGAAAGATACTCTTCCAACCTTATTGCTGTCTCTCTCAGTGTATGCTTCCGAAAGTGGCATCCAAGGTAGTTCGAAATTAAAATTGGCTATATGGAGCAAAACGCAAAAACCCACATAACTCGACAGAATTTCTAACATAATAAATTAAACCCCAAGCTATTAAACCCAATAACCCAATGCTATTTAACCCAGCGACCTGGAACGCCTACTGGACACTATGTTAATTAATAAAATAAACAAAATAACCCAAAAGCCAATCACCACACAACCTAGTGCACTCACTGGCAACTTTGTTAATTAATAAAATATTTAAAATACCACAAGTGCCCATCAACTTATAAAAAATAACATAAGTGCTAATTACCAGGAAACCCAAGGCACTGACATGCTACTTTATTAAATTAGAAAGTATTTTGTTATGATGTGTGCGCTATTTACTATTTAACCAAGATTGTTAAAACTGTTATTCATAGCTTACCTGATTCAGGAAGCGATCTGCAAGCGCCCTAGGTTGCTAAGTAATAAGTGCTTTCGTTGTTATTTGAATCCTTATTAAATTATAAAGTTACCAGTAGACGCCTCGGGTTGTGTGGTGATTGGCTCTTGTATTATTTTATTTATTTTATTAGTTAATAAAGTGTCCAATAAGTGCACCAGGTTGTACGGTGATTGGCTACAGATGTTTTACACGTATGTAGGCATAGGCAATCAGTAGCGACCACAGAGAGAGATAGAATGGCAGCTCGATGTTGCATCTCTTTTTACCACTTTTTCCACTTACAGGCTTGCCTATTCTATCTATAATATCTCTATGTCTACTGCTGCCGTAGTTCAGCAGAATGTAACAATAAGCCTTTTCTACATTTAAGTGTTTTGCGCATTTTGAATGCACTAATAGATGATGCATTGTAGATACGCCTGTGAGTGACAGACTACTTCTACAAATCGACCACTTCTACGTCTATGTTGTGATATTATTTCGAGTTCTTGCAAATTTAGGATTTGATGCTTTGCTAAAACTTTTCCAGTTTACTAGATAAAGTAATAAATTTTAAGAAATGTCCGACAAACTAGATAAATTAAAAATCGATTTAGGACTTCTTGAAGAAGATGATGAGTTTGAAGAATTTCCTGCAGAAGGTAATTTTTACAGTCCTTTTAGTTCTCATGATTAATATTACTAAGTCGGGTGTTCTCCAGAACATGGTATACAACAAAAGTCGTGTCAATTTGTTTTATTGTTTAGTTGGTTACTTACCTATGTGGGAAGAATACACTAATAATATATGGGAAATAGGAAACTTATTTGTAGGATCGTAATTTATAGTTACAAGAAATTAGACTGAATCCAGAACTGTCAATAGGGTATTTAAATTTGTATAGCTGTAATGTACTTCTCTTTATGAGGCTCATGGTACACTGGGTACTATCTGTTTTGTGTGATTTAGTACTCAAAGAATATACATAGCGTTATATAGTTAAAAGTTATAAATTATAACTCATGACGCCTTTGAAGAGCTTGACTTCAAATTTTGTAATTTGGCCATTAATTGGTTGGCAATTATTAAATTTTATTGGAGGCTTAGAAGGTACGTATATTTGAATCCACATTAAATCCTTATCAGCTTAAACCAGATGTGCAAGGGTGCTATGACTTGCCTTGAATTTTTAATTGTGTTGAATAGCAATGGTCCATCTATTTCACAACTAAAGTCGCTGTTTTATTTTAAACTTAATTGTAAGAATTTTAATTATAAGGTTTGAGCAAAACTATGATTTATAAGACAGAAATAAAAGTCCTAATGCATATAACCTTTATTTCACAAAGTAGTCCTGTCAAACAAATCTTCATCTATCTAAAATTGATGTTACAGTGACAGTTGTTGTATAGTAATATTATTGATAAAATAAGTATCTTCGATAAATTACATAAATCATTTTATTATAAGCGAAAGAAACGATTCATTGTTTAATACCTAAAACTTGATATAGTAGGAGAAACCAAACTATCAATGGCTGACTGATGATTCAAATACACAATAACGATATCCACGCCTATAGTAAGTTTATGAGAAGATAAAATGACCTGATCGTTGGGTACTCCCAATACTTTTCTCTCTCATTTGCACCTTGTATGCTCTTTAGATAGCAAGTATCCCTACTCTTACTATTTCTCCTTACCTCGCTTTTTATTGACACTTAAATCATATAACCTTTAACAATTAGCCATCCTATTTTAGTTTGGTGTCCAAACTTGAATACATAATTTTAAAAAATTGTGAAAATTATGAATTCATCGCAACACTCTGTCATAAATTATTTTCTATTATTTTGTCCTAAAAATTATATCCGTAATCAGCTACAATAATAGCTATGATTAGTTACAAAGTAGCTATAATTGTGTACACATAATAACTATTAAAAGTAACAGTTTATAGCTATAAATTTCGCGCAGATTTTAAACAACATAATTTATTTAATAATATTTTTTTTATAAAATATATCAGTCATTGAAGGTGCTGTTATCTGAATAATAACACCAAAACTTGGGGGTTTGAGTATTTTCGAACAATAAACAAAAAAACAAGAAAGTCTTAATGGCTAAGTTATTTTTGTTTAGTTGTTTCATTCTTAGCCATATTATCCTTACTAACTAAACTTGTTTCATGTACACCTTAACTTTCACTTCACTTACATTATTTGTTGTGTAAATTTTCGTTTTCACTCTCGCTATTACTGTAGTCACAATTGTTTTCCATATTAGTACCTTTCCAAACCTTCAGCTGACCCACACTTGCCGTGTTTTCAAATCCACGATCACCCGGTTTATTTGATTTCTTAACTCTATATACATTGCTAGGCTCGATGCCTGCATTAACAAGTGAGCCAGTGTATGTCGGTTGTAGAGTCATAGAGTATCCAGTAGCTATTGGATTTCTTTCCATGTTCACAATATCTCTCAAACTATGCCTTAAATTTATACATTAAAATGTTACACAATTTAAAAATGTACTAAAAAACGATGTTGATCACTAAGTTCATTGTAAGAAATATATACCCAGACCGCTAAATTGCTAAGCAGTATATACCCAACCATAAGTTTCCAAAACAGCTTTTCTGAGCGAATTTATCACACTAAACTACTTTTGTATGATAATTTCACTATAAGTAACCAACCATCACAGCATCTTTCAAGCCCAATTACAGTTTGCTGGAGCGATCAGGTTCGATTTTACAAAGATCATCGAGCCACCAATATGAAAAGTATGCGTTATTTCAAAAAAAAAAAAAACCTTTTGGTCGATTTTTGCATGCTAATTTCATTTGAAGGAAGTATGTAAATTGATTTTTGGGTTTCTGTATAGGCGATATTTTTTTTGTTTCTCACGGATAATTTGCGATTAATTTACGCCTAACTATCCCATATTTCGTTTGTTTATCTGCTATTTTTGCTATGCCAACTTCAAAAAGATACAGGCCAAGGCTTGATTGAATGAATAATTTAAACGATATATTGTTGGACACAGCAAGTAGCTTTTAGTGTTGCAAAGGCACGCTTGAGAGACGGAGCATGGAAGTGATCCACGAAGTAGAGTCGGTGCGTACTTTTGAAGATTTTTCAACGGCTTTTGAAAATATATTCACTTATGCGCATTGCACACATAGCGAAAAGTTAAAGGACATGGTAAATCGCGTACAAGGCTTGCGTGGAAACTTACAAAGCTATGTTCTGAACAAAGTATGGCGTTGTGACGGATTAAATTTATCCGGAAAAGAAATCTGCGAAGAAGTAGCCGCTGGCTATATGGTCATGGGGTCTTTCACAATATCTTTTTGGAAAAAAAATTCAATATTGGATGAGATGCTACAAAATATTGTCAAGGTCGAAAAAATTTATGAAAATCGTCGTGATAGAGCAGCAGAGCGAAGAAACTGAAATAAATAGGGGAAGCTGTTAATTAACCGCAAATTATCCGTGAAAACCAAAAATTTACCGTACACACGAAAACCTAAAAATCAATTTACATGCTCGCTTTGAATGAAGTTAGTATGCGGAAATCGTGAAGTCGGTTAGTAGATAAGATATGGCGATTCCAGCCCAGGTAGGCTCGAGTCGCCAGGCGATTTCGGCCCACTCCCTGTCCGCGTCGAGCGGACCCCTCTTTTCGGGTGGAGTAGTCCCTCTTGCAGCTAATGGGCGAGCAAAAGCTGTGGCTTCCTCGCACTCTTTGAGGTTGCGTGCACCACCAGCAGCGCTGCTTCAGTTTATGCGCGCTGCAATGTGCATCAGCGCCTGTAGCGGAGCGTGCGCCAGCTGGTGACCTGCAGTGTAGTTTGAGTCTGAGTGCGATGCAATGCACATAAGGCTGCGTATACATAGAGTCTTGAACTTCCAGGACCAGCCCATATACCCGTGTAAGTGCGAGACAGAGAGTAATATGTTCTTGCTTCTCACTAACACTCACACGGGCTTATGGCTGGTCCTGGAAGTTCAACACTTACGTATACGCAGCCTAAGTCGTCTGCAGCGCTGGTTTGCGCGTGCTGTTTGAATGTGCGAAATCGTGTGCAGCTTGTGCACGCGGTAGTTATATGCATACTAAAAATTTTTTTGTGTTAACGAGCGCGTTGCATGATAATGTAAGATGTGGAGTGGTAGGGAAATAATTGATGGACATTTTTTGTTTTATTTTTAAAATCAATCAATATTAAATAAAAAAATGTACATGATTTACAAAATGATTTTGTTAAACATCATGTTCTTAAAATACAATACAACGCATTCTTACAGCTCTATATTATTATCGTCATCATCATCAACACCAACCCATTCCATATTGAAGTAAAAGGTTTTCATTCGCTTTACATTATGAAGAGCACACATAGATTTGTAGGCTCCGTTGTGATGTGTGCAAGTAGTAACCAATCTTAGAAGTTCGAACGGTGGATAGTCTGTCATATCAGTGACCTTACAGCTAAATCTTTCAATCTACTTTTTTTTTAAATTTCCTATAAAATGTATTTTAGTAGCACTTTCAAGATTCTCCCGTAAAATATTTCCTATCTTCGTATACTCAAGTTTTCCTGAGTCCCAGGTTGGTCCGTGATGGCAAAGTTCAAAGTATAAATTTTCATGTTTATACTTTTGTGGTAATTTTCGCCAGGTAAAGGGTGCTTTGAAAAAAAATACTTGTGCTTCTGCATCATTAGTATTGAGCGGAAGGATAGCCCATTCTTTGAGCATATAATTATTACCCGGTTTGATGAAACCTTGCAATACTCCATGTTCAGCTATCATGATATTTAATTTAATTTGTTATTGTTTCGTGACCTTCTTTTTTATAACAAGACCCTTTGTTGGTCTAATACTTATCGAAAAAGTTTTTCAGCCCAGATTTCCTATTTCTATCATCATCATTCTTAGTTGAGATTTTTTGATACATAACATGAGTTGTACAGTTACTTGTACACGGTTTGTGTGACATACTAATAAAAGTAAAGCTTATTAATAATATTAACTTTTGAACAATTTAACAGTCTTTATCTTTCGATTACCCCTTGAATTTTGTTTTTTCAACCTTAATGTTTTTTTTTGTTTTTTTTTTGTTTGATGGAGTGGAGAGGAGAAAATCTTCATAGACAACCCAGCTAATCCGGTGGTAGTGTCGGATTCACCCGGTGTACCTATTGACTAAAAACTAACCTCCCTGTATGGGACAGGTTCGCTAGGACCACTCCCCTAGAAGTCAAAAGGACATAAGAGGAGAAAGAAGAAGGAAAATAACGGAAAATTTCGGAGGCCAGCTTGCTCTCAAAGGGATGAGAGGAGGAGCACTTATGCATCTGGGCGAAGCTCAAATCTTGGCTTGCGCCGGAATAGAGTTAGAGAAGCTTAAATTTGGTGTTATTGTATGTGTGTGTATGTAGATGTGTGAGTCCACTGGGTATTGTGTACTTGGAAGTGTACTTGTGATTTGTGTAAGTGTTATATAGGGTTTAGGCCGTAAAGGATACGGCGGATAGAAGGGTGCTCCTGAAAGGAGCGTAGGAATTGAAGTCGCGTTTGTTTCGGCGAGATCATGGAGATGATGCATCCGATGGAAGCAAGGGGATTAAAGACCTAGAGTATATTGAGGGTC